TTTTTTTTTTTTTTTTTTTTATTTTTGTTTTGCTTTGTGCAAGAGGTAACAAATAACACAATGCTAATTTGTGTGGTGGGGTTCCCCCCCCCCCCCCCACAATCTTCAGCATTGTTTTGCATCAGGAATTGCTACTATCAAAAGCTGGGGTGTGAATGGGTGCAGTCACATTCTCCATTAACTGATCATACACTATGCATGATGGTAACTGGCTAAAATTTACTCCATGGGTGGCCTTGTTGCCATTCTCCCACCCAACATCCTTTGGAAAATTGAGGGAGCCAGAAAGAAAAAATGATTATTTGAAGGAGCAGGGTGGAAAAACTTTTAATAAAAAAAACATTTCTAATTGTGTAGGTGGTTTTTCATTCAGGAAACTTCATTCATTCCAAAGTTTAATGTAACAAGCAATTGATATTTTGCAGTACGTTTTTGACCAACATTTTCCAAGTCATCGGATGTACTGGGCTTTTTCGTACAAATGTTCGTATGCAAAACTATTCGTGTACTGCCCACCTTTAGCCTCTCTGAGCCTGATATGGCCGACCAAGTCAATACAATGGCTTACGTGCCCTGATGCAACAAACCAATAAACATCTTTTGATTGCTCGGCCTCTTTTATAATGCAGTAACTTAAATTTTAGAGAGTCGTTCTAGTTAATAATGCAAAGCAACTTGGGCTGCAGATTCAGTGTCAAATTCTAACAGCAATGGTGCACCTTAAACGACCCGTCTTGTTGGCTGTCAGGATGGGTGTGAATGGATCAGAAAGCAGTTCTCTCCCACCACGCCTCCTATTCAGAGTCCCAGCTGTAAATGAGGCGAGCACTGTACCCATAATGACTTTAGTTAATAGATGAAATATTCAGTGTCTCTAATCCTGTCCCAGCAGGGAGGGCCGGCATTTGTCTGGCAGTAAACATTGACTTCCTACCCCTTGCACAGTGTCCTTTTCTCCATGACCATATGAAGCCATGTCATTTACAACCAATCCAATTAGCGGGTTTGGAAGCTTGAGTAATAAACATGGTTTTTGAAAATCTGGGTGTGCCACTCCCCTTTTGTATTAAAAAAAAAAAAAAAAAAAAAAATGTATTTCAAACTCTGTCAGCCTGCTAGCAATCGCTGGTATGTTACATTTTCTATTTGCTTAGGTGCTGACCCTGCAGGGGGAGGGGAGGACACAGGGTCTGCAGACCTAAGCAATTTTCTGCTGCAAAATAAAGACAAAAGGGGTGGGGGGGGGGGGGTGATGAATTTTGACTAAAATATCCACAAACAAGTCACCCTTGGGGATTTAATAAATTGCTGTAGAGAGGTAATTTTGCAAAGTTTCAGGTGTTTGCTGCTAGATGCTTCCTTTTTTTTTTTTTTTTTTTTTTTTTTTTTAAACTAATTTTTTTTCTAAGCAAACTGTTTTTATAATAAAATGTTTAGTTATTATACGGTAATATTTAATACAAATATATAATATTATAGAGCATCCCATTGCCAATACCAATTTCAGGTAAAATGGATGAGTTAAATATTGGGCAGTTCATCTTAAAACGGAACTATATAGTAACTGAGCTCCACAAACCAAAAAACGCTATTTAATTCATTTTTAATATTAAAAGCAAACTCTCCTATCCATCCATGTCTCCATGCTTTCTTTTAAGACATTACTTTGAAAAATGTCCACCTAGCATTTTTTTGCTGTGGCCATTTTGAGTAAGGGAAGATGATTCCGGAGTCAATCCACAATTAGTTCAGGCAAGTTCCTACTTTTTTTTTTTTTTTTTTTTTTTTTTTTTTTTAAGCTAGCCATGAAGTGCCCAATTCCTGTGAAACTGGAGCCATTTACTACGCCACCAAACCACCTGTCTCAACAAATCAAAAGACACAGGTGGAAAGAAGCCAGCCAAATGGTGCCTTCAGCCAATCGGCAAAGATTACTTTAATCCCAGACAAGAAAACCGTATTTTACTTGCACATGATTGGCTGATGGAAGCTATCAGAGATTCACCTCATTTACTAAGCTTTGAAGGTTGGAAGCCATCAGAGCTTCGCCTCATTTACTAAGCGTGGATAATGGAGAATGAGGCAAAGCTCTGATGGCTTCCATTATCCAAGCTTCATAAATGAGGTGAAGCTTTCATGGCTTCCATCAGGCAAGGTTGGTAAATGAGCCAAAGCTCTGATGGCTTCCATCAGGCAAGCTTAGTAAATGAGGCAAAGCTCTGATGGCTTCCAAGCTTGCGTGATGGAAGCCATCAGAGTTTCGCCTCATTTACTAAGCTTGCATAGAGAATGAGGCAAAACTCTGACAGCTTCCATCAGGCAAGCTTAGTAAATGAGGTGAAGCTCTGATGGCTTCTATCATGCAAGCTTAGAGAATGAGGCTTGCATGTTGGAAGCCATCAGAGCTTCGCCTCATTTACTAAGCTTGCCTGATGGAAACCGTCAGAGCTTTGCCTCATTATCTAAGCTTAGTAAATGAGGTGAAGCTCTGATGGCTTCCATCATCAAAGCTTAGTAAATGAGGTGAAGTTCTGATGGCTTCCATCAGGCAAGCTTAGTAAATGAAGTAAAGCTCTAATGGCTTCAATCATGCAAGCTTAGAGAACTGTCAAAGCTCTGATGGCTTCCAAGCTTGCATGATGGAAGCCATCCGAGCGTTGCCTCATTCTCTAAGCTTGCATGATGGAAGCCATCAGAGCTGAACCTCATTCACTAATCTAAGGGGGAGAATTGCCCTTTAGTATCAGTCTCTTGCAGTCCCTGTGCAGCAAATCTGACTGAAAGAGGGTGATGCGCACACAGCCAGTTCAAAGGGCATGCTGATAGAGGCAGAGATCAGAGTGAGAGGCAGAGATCAGAGTGAGAGATCGAGCTCATTGATGTGCTTCTCCTTTTAATATCCAGTCCTAGGCTGGGGATAGAGAGAAGACCTGTAAGTGTTAAAGAATCACATCAGAGACCATTCGGGTCTCCTGTCCTGCCAGGCAGGGCTGTGTGGTTTGGCAGAGCTGTGCAAATCTCTGGATGGATAGAAATACTAATCCTCTGGCAAGTATGATGGACTGATCTGTGTATTTAGCCGTTTGCCTGAAGTTCAGCTTTAAATCGCATCCTTCTTCTGTTTTTCACAAATCTTGGTGTTGCGGTGGCTGGGGGGTATTTATCTCTTTTCAGACTTACAAACTGGCTTGCAGGGAGATTAGCGGGGCGTTTCCCTATGTGGAATTTAGCAGGGTTTCCAGTGTTTAGGAACTTGTGCAATGAGCTGCTGAATGAAGTCATTCACACTCCACTATTCACAGCTAATTCCAGCCCGTTCTCACCTCCTTTATTTGCAGTACAGTGAGCACATGTTCCCGGGAAGATCTTCTGGTTGTCTAAACAGTTTCTCTTTACGGCTTGTACACACAAGCTGTGTGCTTTTTGGGGGGAGGGGGGGTGCACATTGCTCACGTTTCACATGACCTGTGATGTCATTAGCGCTCTTGTGAGGGAGGGGCATAGAGAACACAGGTTGCATTGCAAATTTGGGTAGCTGCATCAACTAACTTTTTTTTTTTTTTCTAGTTTTAATAATGCTGGTAGCGTCGGCTGTGTAAGGTCGCGTTTAAAAACATGTTTTTTTTTTTTTTTTTTTTTTTTTTTTTTTCCTCCCAACGATTTTGCATTAGCGTTTTAGTTGTCTGGTTTTTTTTTTTTTTTGGGGGGGGGGGGTTTCCGCATTTGAAGTAAAAAAAAAAAAAAAAAAAAAAAAAAAAAAATTTGTATAAAAAGTGTCCAAAACCGCAGCTTTACCGTGTTAGAGCATTTTTTACAGCTAAACTCTCCTGGAAACCCAGTAGCATTGGGTTTTTCTTGTGAGTTTTTTTTTTTTTTTTTTTCCAGCCAAAAAAAAAGCTGATTAAAGCCTGTGTGTGCATAGACACATAGGATAACATACTGGAGAGTTTATTACCATTAGAAAAAAAAATGGCAGCTATAACCATGTCCAGTGTGCATGAGGACTTAAAGTGGTTGTAAACCCTTACATATACCCAGAGAAGAGAGACACATCTTCCTACATAAGTTGTACTGTCTATCTGTGGCCATCTCTATATCTGTACAAAGTACAGAATTTATAAAGCTTGCCTGAGCTGTCAGAAAAAGGGGTCAGACAGCTGAAGTTACACATTGCAGAGCTCAGTGAGGAGAGCTGATTAGAGGGAAGGCACACAGGAACAGAGCTGATGCCGTCAATCAGCCAGAGGTCCCTCCCCGTCACCATTTTTTTTCTGGGTGTCAAGAAAACCTGTCAGAACTGACTCATGCTGATAGCAGAGGAACAAAACGGAAGACAGAAATGACACTTACTGCTCTTAATTTGAACTACACACTATAGAGGGATATGCTTTTATTAAAGTGGTTGTGAACCTCACACATGAAGTGTGTGTGAGATCCCAAGATCCTATACTTGGTCTTGGATAGTGCAGAGAAGGGGGTAAATTCCATGCTCTATTCTTCTTTCTTTCTCTTTTTTTTTTTTTTTTTTTTTTTTTTTTATTCCGGTCAAATAAAAGTAGTTTTATAAGGAGGATATGATTTTTAGGCGCTACACCGGCAATCGGGAGCTGGTAAGACAGACCTTACTCTGGCAGCCTCCATTCTCTTGCAGCATCTTATGGAGCCAAACCTTGTATGCAGAAACTAGGGCTGTCTCCCTACACCAGGCATGTCCAAAGTCCGGCCTGCGGGCAATTTACGGCCCGAGGGTCGGTTTAATACGGCCCTCCATGTCAGTGTGTCAGTGTGTCTTATGGAGCGGCCGGTCCGGTATTTCCACCGCGGCCGTGTCAGAATACCGGGCCGGCCGCTCAGCTCTGCAGCGGGACCTTACCTGTTCCTCTATCCAGCGGCGCGCTGTCTTCCCGGCTTCTGTAGTGTGGACGCTGGGCATGACAGCCGGGTGCCAAGTGCGCATGTGCAAGAAGCGGTGCTTTTTGTGAATGGTAAGGCGGTACCTGGGACACATGACAGATCCCAGAAGCCGCCGGACCAATCACAAAGTGCAAGTGCTTTTCGCTCATGCGCACTGGGCACCCGGCTGTCATGCCGAGCGCCATTACAGAAGCCGGGAAGACAGCGCACGGCTGGATCGAGGAACAGGTAAGATCAAAGAACAACTGCGGAAGTAAGAGCGGGTACCTGTCAAATTCAGGTACCCGCTCCCCACCTCCCCAAAGGTCAGCAGTCATCTGTGCTGTCCGCAGTCTCTGGTCAGCGGTCATCTGTGCTGTCCGCAGTCTCTGGTCAGCGGTCATCTGTGCTGTCCGCAGTCTCTGGTCAGCGGTCATCTGTGCTGTCCGCAGTCTCTGGTCAGCGGTCATCTGTGCTGTCCGCAGTCTCTGGTCAGCGGTCATCTGTGCTGTCCGCAGTCTCTGGTCATCTCCTGTACTGTGTCTGCAGTCAATTAGTTTAGAATTTTTTTTTTCCTGTTTTCTGCCTCTAAAACCTAGGTGCATCTTATGGTCAGGTGCGTCTTATACGGCGAAAAATACGGTAACTTGGCATAAAATTTATTTGCATTTAATTGTAATGGTTCAAAGAATGTTTGGAAAAATGTTCGGCCCTCCACCATGTTCACTTCATCCAATCTGGCCCTCTTTGAAAAAAGTTTGGACACCCCTGCTCTACACTGTGCATTCATAGAAGCTCAAAGTCCTGTTGCCTAGAATGGCAAGGTATTCCCCTGCCCCTCCCCTCCAGCTAACAGACTGGCTAGAGACTGCACTGTCCACTGTGAAGCCTAGAAGTTCAGGGAAGTGGCAATGAGAGAGCAGGAGCCTGCAGTGTGTGTGTGTGTGTGTGTGTGTGTGTGTGTGTGTGTGTGTGTGTGTGTGTTTTTTCTCTGCTCAAAAGTTAAATGTTATCCTATGTGTCCAGGCTATTTCAGTGTCTTGGAGCAGACAAATTGTTTTTGGAGCATTTTTTCCAGCAAAAAAAAAAATGCTGAGCGCTCCTAAGTTTGTTTGTGTTTTTTTGTTTTTTTTTTTTTTTTTTTTTTTTTTTTCCCCCCCCCCCCCTCAAATATACTAGTAATAGCAGCAACTTATAGTGGAACTGTGGTGGGCATTCTGACACGGGGGGGGGGGGGGGGGGGGGGGGTAGAGACTCACTGACATCCCCATTGACACTAATACAGTGATTAGTGCAAATAAAAAGCAATGACACTGGGCAGGAAGGGGGGTTAACATCTTGGGTGATCAAAGGGTTAACTGTGTGCTGCGTTACATTATGTGCTGTTTTACTTGGGAGACATGCTGCCTTGTATCTCTCTGCTGTGCAGAGAAATACACAGCAGCATGTCTTTGCTGACAGGAGAGAGATCTGTGCTTGCTTACACACCGGTCTCTCCTCTGTCAGTGTTCCTTGGAGATCACCAGGTGTCGGCGGGGAATCTCCAGCTGGGACCCACTAATTGACAGCTATAGCCGCCTACCCGGAAATACAAAATCGTGTGTGTGATTGATTTTTTTTTTTTTTTTTGCGCCGCCCTGTAGCAGTACTTGTTCTGTAGGGCGGTCGGGAATCAGTTAATAGATCAGACCTCCTATCCACGTGCAAATTTGCAGTTAAAAACATGAAATTCCCCAGATTAGTTCAGGTTACCAATTGATTGGCAAAGGCGTGGAGGAATGAGCGGTAGTTGTGACAATTACGTTCGGTCTATATTTTTAAAAGGCAACACTGTAACTCTTAAGACAAATTGCTTGATTTAAATGCATTGATACCTTCACTATTAAAAAAAAAAAAAAAAAAAAAAAGCTCCATTCTAATGCTAATGGTGCATACAGATTGTGTGGACATATAATGCAGCGTGTGTACTTTCCAATGATCATTTGTTAAGCTTTGTGCATTTGAAATATTAAATTCTCACAAAGTTAAACTGATGCCTCCCTGGTGCCCTATACAATGTCCTGTTGTCATGGTAACCCTGGGCAGCCGAGAGGAAAATGGTTTGTAACACTGAAACCATAACGCTGGAAAGGCAGGGTGCAGGAGAGTCTCCGGGGGGGAGGACCTCGACATGTGTGTGTGAAACCGATAAGACGGGAGGTGATCCACACTGGATAAGGGGACGCCGCCACCCTTGGCTGGCCATACGTGGTTAGGAGGCCATTCAAAAATTGGTGGTTTTTCCAAATATTTTTTTCCCCCCTTTTTTTTTCTGATGATTAAAGTAGAATTCTGGGCTTTAGCTGACTATTGTAAATGCTCTCTCGCCATCCTAACACCTATACTGACTAACCTGTGTAGTGTGTGTTTGTGTGTACTTTCAGGCATCGGTCTGGTCATGTGATCCCCTGTGTCAGCCAATGGTGGCTACAGGGGAGAGAGAGTGCACTGAACAGCTCCTATGGCCCATCCATTGTCGGTGCTCCCTCCTTCCCCCTGCAGCAGCTGCTGGCTAATGCAGGGGAGCGAGATCATGTGACTGGACCAGATTGGGTTGAAAATTGGGTATGTACACACCATTCTTAAGCCGGGTACATTCTGTGTGGTGTGTTTTGTGTAGTGTGGTGTGTTTTGTGTAGTGTGTTTTGTTACATGGTGTGTGTGGTGTTGTTGTGGGTTTTTTTTTTTTTTTCAAACCTATGGGCTGAAGGGGAAAAAAAAAACCTGGGAGATCGCCATAAGCAAAGTTATTACAGTGATCTATTCCGCTCTGCCTTTTGTTTTTGATTCTGAAGGGGACAGCTAAAGCAAACAAGCATTATAAGCAACTTTTTGATTTGGTTAGAGAGATGTATGTATTTTTGTATTTACTTACTGTGCCTGACGCCGCTTTTTTTTTTTTTTTTTTTTTTTTTTTTTTTAAGCTTTTGCCATTGCGGATCATGCAAACATTCATTTTTAGTCTTCCTGATTGGATTGGCAGCTAAACTGTTATATGAAGGAGACGGTTCGGCAATTGCAGCCCACTTGCTCTGAACCTGACCCAGCCTGTGACTAGACAGTGAAAGGAGAAGTGGCGCAGTGATGAGCTTGTGTCTACTCTGCATCCTCCTCCTATCAGCATGCTTTTTTGCACTGATTCTTCCTCTCCCTCTCCAGCTGTGATATACTGAGACTGTAAGAGGCTGATATCAGATCAAATTCAAGTACTTGCTATTATTATTATTATACAGGATTTATACAGCGTCAACAGTTTGCTCAGCGCTTTACAATATAACAGGAGACAATACAGCAACAGTACAGTTCAATACAAGAGGGTTAGGAGGGCCCTGCTCCTTGGAGCTTACAATCCAGGATGCTTGCATTTAAACAGTACCTGTAAGGCCTCTTGCGCACATACTACTGATTTGTGCGTCAGCATTTATGGCCGTGATTTCAGGCATTTGCTTTACATGTATTCGTGCACAGTTGTGCGTATGCGCATTCACACGCACAATACATTCCTTGGCAAAATCCATTATTGATACTTGTATGCATGCATTTGCGTGTACCGGTGCAAATTACTGACCAGGACTGCAATTTATTTTTTCCTTAACACGCAGTGCTTGTTTACATGCCTGCGTGTAAAGGAAAATTGTAAACAATGGGCTGCATTGTAGATCAGTAGAAAAAAAATTATGTACTGAGCTTTTTCAAGCAGCAAGGGGCCTAATGATGTACTGTGAAGCTGTATTCATTTGTGTAATTTCAGTCTTCCTGAAGTTCAGCTTTAAGCAATCTGTGCTTTTCACTTTTACAGGCATTTTTTTTTTTTTTATTTTATTATACGTAAAGAATTGTAGATTACCCACTAGAGCAGGGGTGTCAAAATGGCAGTCCTCCAGATGTTGCAAAACTACAAGTCCCGTCATGCCCCTGCCTTTGGGAGTCATGCTTGTAACTATCAATCTTGCAGTGCCTCATGGGACTTGTAGTTTGGCAATAGCTGGAGGGCTGCCAGTTTGACACCTGTGCACTAGAGGCAGAGTGGATTAGCTTCTGCAATGACAAGGAGCCCATGGATCATGCAATTTTCTTTCCTTCCAGGAAGGAAAAAAATCACTCTATTCTCCCATGAACAGTCTGTTAATGAGGGAATCCCTTCTACTATGCTGTTGTGTTCTGCCAGCGGGGAGCCTTAACCTGCCGATAGAACACAATGATCACTGCTGGAGGCTATAGCTGCCAGAAGTGATCGCCTGAAAATTCAGACAGGCTGGTTGTACTGGAGTCAACTGGTGGATTGACTTCAGTCCACCCACCCATAGGTGGATCAAAATTTGGTGGTTTCCTGCTGAACCCTTTAAATTTTGATCAACCTATGGCTAGCTTTTATACCTTCTAAGATATCATCCACAGATGGCATGCATTGATTTCAATTCATTTGCTGACTCATAAATTTGAAACCGGCAGAACGCAACCATTGTGTAACACTAATAAGCAGAAAGCGGAGCCTGTGTATTTATGAGCAAATATGACTGCCCCACCTCCCACTTTAGCCAGTTGTTGACCTTTTTAATGCCTTGTTATTGGGGGCTCTAGCAATGGACTGACCTGCAGGTAACTCTTGTTGTTGGTTCTTGAGAGGTTGTTTCAATAATTGGAGCCAATATTCGAGCATTATTGTAACTATATAGCTTTTACCTATAAAACTCTCCATTTTAGTTGCCTTTTTCTAACATTAGATTTAAATCCAAACCTTAGGGTTCTTCCAGAGGATCCTTGGCTGTGGCTAACCAATCTAGTGCCTGCATTGTTCCAGGTCCAACACCACTTAGTCAGTGGGAAGAAATCTCCCCTTAGTTATGACTCTGGCCCTGCCATCATTGGTGTAAGGGGCATTTTTCCACTGACTACCAATGGACTAAATTCAGCAGGGTTTCTCTGAGACCTGAAAAATGCCAGGGTTCCTTTTGCGGTAAAAAGGTTACAAAAGGCTAAGCTAGAGCCCATGTCATATTTATTACAGGCATTTACACTCACCGTCCACTTATTAGGTACACCTGTTCAATTGCTTGGTAACACAAATTGCTAATCAGCCAATCACATGGCAACTACTCAATGCATTTAGGCATCTAGATCTGGTGAAAACTACTTGCTGAAGTTAAAACTGAGCATCAGAATGGGGAAGAAAGAGAGATTTGAGTGACTTTGTACATGGCATGGTTGTTGGAGCCAGATGGGCTGGTCTGAGTATTGAAAAAAACAGCTGATCTACTGGGATTTTCACGCACAACCATCTCGGGTTTACAGACAATGGCCTGAAAAAAAGAAAATATCCAGTGAGTGGCAATTGTGTGGATGAAAATGCCTTGTTGACGTCAGAGGTGAATGGGCAGACTGGTTTGAGATGGGCAACAGGAACTTGTGTCAAGGAGGTCCAACCTGTTACTAGCAAGGTGTACTTAATAATAAAGTGTCCAGTGAGTGTACTGCAGACTATTTTATGGAGCACTT